CACCTGGCACTTAGTTAAGAGGTTTTATTCCCTCCGTAACTTCAGGGGAAAATCCCTACCTGGGGAAACAACCTTTCTCGGAGAGGTGACCTTGGTTAAAACACAGCGCCAAGAAGGTGAGCAAACATATTAAGAACAGTATGCCATATAGCCAGGTCCCTTGAAACAGCAAGGATGGACTGGCTCCCGGCAAATTTGTATAATAATATTAGTATTAATCAATGCTAATAAAAATTAATGTTTTATTTCAGTGGCTCTGTTACAAATAGCATAACCCAGAGAGCTTTAAAAATGCTGATGCCTGTCCCTGTCTGGTTTGGCTCAGTAAATAGAGCATCAGCCTGTGGACTGAAGGGTCCTGGGTTTGATTCCAGTCAAGGGCACATGCTCAGGGGCTTGATTCCCAGTAGGAGGGCATGCAGGAGGCAGCCAATCAATGATTCTCTCTCATCATTGATGTTTCTATCTCTCTCTCCCTCTCCCTTCCTCTCTGAAAACAATAAAAATATATTAAAATAAAAATGCCGATGCCTGAATCTTACCTCCTGAGGTTCGGGTTTAATTGGTCTGAGGTACAGCCTAGGCATTTTTAAAGCTTCCTTGGTGATGTAATGCTCAGTGGGGTTGAGAACCTCTGGGTTATAACAGTCTGTCCTCTGGCGCAGTAATTTTCCCCCAACTGGCTGTACCTGAACCAGCTGTGCAGTTTGCTAAACCAGAGCTCCCAGAGCCCCACCCCAGATCCACTGCATGAGCGTCCAGAATAGGCCCAGGCGTCTGCCTGTTTACCATTTCTGCCCTAGGCAGATCTAGAAAATGATACCCAGTCTTTGTTACCAGTTTCCTTTGTTTTTAAAAAGTGTACACATTTCTCCTACATACTATTGATACTTATTTTTATCCAAAAAGTATATGGATTTACAGTGCCATTCCTTGTATACTGGACAGTGTCAATACATATTTGCTTATTTATATTTCATCCACTCATGGCAGGCATTGATGGGAAGGAAAGTTTGGTGAAGGAAAATTTGCAAATGCTTTTACTTTAAAAAATACTATAGTACATTTTTAATTTTATAAACATTAGGATATTAACTTGCTAATCTGGATTGACATCCATTTAATTCTAAATTCTATTTCTTTGGTCTTGTGCTTGAACTTGCTCATCTGTGTGTTATTTTAATTAATCTTGATTTCATTGTCCAATGGGTAGTGAATTAACCTTTGCAAAAGCTGCATGCCACCTAAAGGAGGTTCCACTTGGGATAACCATTATTTTTCTGTAAAAGAAAAAGCAAAAATTGGGATTTGGTAAAGAAATATAATCAAAGAAAAACCTGTCAAACCTGCACGTGTGTGGGGGCACACGTGATAAGCCTGATTGTGTCACTGAGAAGCCTTTCATGTCCTCAAGACAACCTCTACTTCAAGGTCGCAGTGTTACCAATATTGCTTTCCATGAGGCGCTAATTACCTAGTTGGTGTTTTTTACCTTGCTGCTTTTTCTCCCTTCATGTTATACCTCTAAAGGCAGTGCACATAGACTAAACAACTTTTCTCAACACTGAAAGTGCTTAAATTAAAAAATGCTTATTTAGATTCAAAATTTAGATTCAAAATTTGCATATTATGAAAAACACATTTTGCTTAGAAAATGCTGTCCTATTGAGAGGATGCATTCATTTCCTCTGTTCTGCTCTATTGTGTTATAATAATGCGAAAGAGAGTCACTGCTCATAAAAAGATGTTCACTTGTCCTTTCACAGAGTGATGTTAAACTGGACAGGTGTCTACAACCAGGGTTTTTGTGCTACAAAAAGTCCTCCATTTAGTCAGTGGCATGTGTTGAGTGGCCTTAGTATATGTACTAGTCACCATTGTCTGTTAATTCAATAATTTCTCCCTCTGCATCCCCAAGGCCTTAAATTAAGCTTGTGATGTTTCCCTGGCCTGGAGCACTATGGAGTCCTCTCAACCGACCTCACTACCTCCCTAGTCTACTTGTTCTGATTCTTCCTCAGTCTCTGCCAGGCCATGCTTCTAAACTTCCCTTTTGCGAACACTTCTGCGGCTCTCCCTGCCTTCAAAGAGACAATGGAAACTCTTGGTGGATCCGAAGGGCTCTTCACAGCCAAACCACAATCGCTTTTCTATTCAACTCTGTCTCCATTTTCTAATTCTCAGAATAGCCCAGGATCACCTTTGACTCTTGAATGTGCCATACTCTCCCAACTCCATGCCTTTATGATCCAGGCTATTCTGTCTGCAACCTCCTTACCCTTGGTCCAAATATCACCTCCTCTTTGAAACCCCTATGGGAGCCATCTCCCCTAAATCAAATGATAGTGAATTTTATTATTCCTAACACTTGTAAACACAGCAGTCACTCTTTAAATATTTCAGTTATATTTTATAATCTTTTCCTCTCATATTGATAAAAAATTTGTCAGACCTGAGATCCTGATATTCTCACCCAAATAAAACCCTCTTACCCTCTTATATATTCAAAGTATATTTATTAAATGCTTATTGTATGCCAGGTTACCCATTACACTGCAGTAGGGAACAAGACAAAGTCCTTTTGTGCATGTAGGTTATATATTCTGGTGAAGTAGGCAGAAACTAATAGGTCATGACAAGTTTGAGGAAGTAAAACACAGCAGAGTAAGGGGTCGAGGGCATAGGCACCACAGTGTTTAGTGTACTCAGGGCCGGCCTCTCTGAGGAGCTAACATTGGAACAGAGATCTAAATTAAGTGAGAAAGGAACCATACAAGCATGTGGGAGAAGAAAGTTCCCACAGCAAGTGCAAGGGCCGAGGCTCTGTGCTACCCAAGTGAAAAAGTCCATGATGTGGAAGCCAGTGGAGTTCCTCAGAGCTGTTTAATTGCTGGAAGATTATTCCAGTCTTCTGAGGGGAGGCACACAGAGGACAGCTCCTAACCAAAGTTGAGGCTCCTCAAGCTAAAGATAAATGTTTTGCAATCTCTTTTCCCCTCTGCAGAATCAAGATTTTTTTTAAAGCCCAGATTTCACCTAGATACAAATGCTAAAAGTTAGTATTTGTTGGCATCTCTCCTACAGCGGTTCTCAACCTGTGGGTCATGACCCTTTTGGCAGTCGAATGACCCTTTCACAGGGGTCGCCTAAGACCATCCTGCATATCAGATATTTACATTACGATTCATAACAGTAGCAACGTTACAGTTATGAAGTAGCAACGAAAATAATTTTATGGTTGGGTCACAACATGAGGAACTGTATTTAAAGGGCCAGAAGGTTGAGAACCACTGCCTTAGAGGGTCTTGAATTTATAAAAGCTATTCATTTATATTCTGTCCTTTGTTTCATCTGGATAGACTTTATCCTCTTTCAGTGCTGTATTCCCACTACCCAGAATAGTGCCTGGCACATAGTAGGTGAAAGACTAAATTTTTTGAAAGACTAAATAATAATGAGGTTTGAGAACAGCAAAGACATCATACAGTGTGTGAATTTCCAGATGGGCTCTGAACCTTTATATTATTAGGAAATAAATAAAAATTATCATTAAAATATAGTGATTTTTAGAACTAATTTTATAGATGCAAAATGAAAAATTGTATAATTTAATGGAATCTATTCAGATTTGAGGATATAGGAATGGAATTTCTAATATTAGCAGTTACACCGAAAATCTTAAGAATAAATGTATTTCTAGAGTTTGAAACAGTTTAAATCCTTTTTGGATACAGTGCCTCACGAAAACTAACACTACCACCACCCAAGTTCATTTTGAACAATTGCTTTACCTTTCGTCTGTATGCTAATAATTTTTTGATTTATATTTCCCCCAAATAGGTTGCTTTCTGCCATGGAGAGTACTGCTTCATTAGAGAAAATGCCTGCTGCGTTTTCACTTTTTGAGCATTATGATGACAGCTCGGCAAGAAGTGACCAGATGTTAAAACAAGTGGCTGGTAGGCATTTTAATATCTTCAAGAGCTTGATGAGATTTGGCGATTTTTCCTTGTTTGCTTTTGAATATAAGGAAATATAACTGGCAACAGGAACATCTTCTTTGTAAACTTTTAAAGCCAGATTCTGAAATAAAGCATGAGACCAGCACACCATTCCGGCAATAAACTGCATTTCCATTTGAAGCCTAATGACTGCTCTGGGCTATCGAGGAGGTGGGTGGAGGTAGCAATGAAATCAAAGGTCTCCTGTTATTTTCTTTTGTCCAGTAGGGTTTCTCTCCTTCCAGAGATTATTTGCTTCACATCAGCAGCTAGCTAGAGAAGGAAAAATAAATCAAATATTTTCATGTGTATCAAACAGATTTTTCCTTATGAGTGGTTTTCCCCTCTTCAATTGAGTTCTTTTTCCTTTTTCAAAAACTAAACAGATTAGCTTAGAAGAACTAACAGCTCAGCATCATGCTCTGAGCCAGGAGCCTCCCACTCAGCTGTCAGAAGCATCTTGCCGGCTCTTCAAAATATTTTTTAATGTGCTATTTTAACAAACAAGACAATTTAAATTTCTCAAAGCTGCCATGTTTCAGTCAAGTTACCAAGTTTCACTTCCTGTACAGTGTACTCAGATGTCCTCCTTAAGAGATGTATAGCTATACTCTTTCAAAACCACCTTAAAGACAGCTGCTGTTTTTCAGTTGGCAAGTAACTTTCATTCCTGTAGGAAGAGTGTTTGTTTAGTAACTGGTAAAAGGCTACTGTGTCTTTAAAAAAACCAAAAATCCTACCAACCCTATGTAAAATGAAAAGTGCAGGCATTTATGGATTTTCTTCAGAAAAGTCTCAAAACAAAAGGATGTTTTCTTAGAATGTCTTTAAGAGGCATTTAAATAAAGCAGTGATTGCAAATTAAGAAATTCTGATTAACAGAGTAGATCTTTTGCTTTTAAGAGATTCTTTTTTGAGTACCAGATGGGGAATGAGAGGACATTCCGTATATTTTAGAAGCCACAGGGTTAAATTAGCATTCTGAAATAGTGCCTGTGGCAGTCCCAGTAATTCCAAGCTGCTTTGGGGAAATTGGTCTCTGAGAGAAAGGTGCTGCGGGTTGTACTTCACAGAATGGGAGCCCACGGCGTTGACTTGTTGCTAAATAGTTTTTGTTCATTTTGTGACCAATGACACCTCTCGGATCTAGAGTCCTCTACGGGTACCTGAAAAGTTAATCAGATCGCTCCCTAAACAGATATAATGAGGAAAGGATGTGGATTTTTCACTAACATGTATTCCACTCTTACATGATGCCTGGCGTTGGGGAGGCTGTTAAGCATCCTGATCATCTAATCTCACAACCCTAGGAGGTGGATTTTATTGGTATTCCCATTTGACAGGTGAGGAAATACAGGGAGCAGAAAAGTGTCTCTCATACTGCCCTAGACACACAGCTACTTGGGGACATGTAGTGGAGGAGTTCAGTTCTGAGTTGCTCTTGAACCACTGCTCTACACCTAAGAGGCAGAGTGCATTGCTCTGAAAGGAGAGGTAACCATAGGTTAGTGACAACCAAGGCTTCCTTGACTCTGGCTCCTAGGGCCTTTTTTTACTTAATTGTGGTAAAATACGCATAATGTAAAACTTAGCATTTCAACCCTTTTGAAGTACATAGTTCAGTGGTATTAAGTACACTCACATTGTTGTACAACCATCACCACTATCCATCTCTGGAATTCTTTCATCTTGCAGAACTGACATTCTCTACCTTTTAAATAACTCCCCACCCCCAGCCCAGCAACCACCATCCTACTTCCTGTTTTTATGAATTTAACTACTCTAGGTACCTCATAAAAGCAGAATCATATAGTAGTTTTTTTGTGTGACTAGCTTATCTCACTTAGCATATCTTCAAGGTTTATCCACATTGTAGCATGTGTCAGAATTTCCTTCCTTTTAAGGGCTGAATAATATTCCATTGTAGGTTTATACTGCATTTTGCTTATCCATTCACTCATGGATGTACACTTGGGTTCCTTTTCGCTACTCTGAATAATGCTGCGCTCCTGGGGACTATTGTGAAAGCTGGCTTGAGTGGGAATCTGGTTCTGGGCACAGATTCTGAAGTCCCAAGTTGATCTACTGCTCAGCTCCCTTGGTGTTACAGCTCTTTACAGGACACTTCCTCAGGCTGAGGAATCCATGGGGGTGATTCCTCTGGCAAAGCCTTAAAATCTCATCTTCTCTTTAATCCTATTCAAGTTCGTTGCTACAGCAGTGTAAACAGAGTAGCTGACATATAAAATCCAGGTCTCTGATGCTTGTCTATCACAGGAATTTTAAATCCAATAATTATTATTTAATTACATCTATGAAATATTCCTATTTCCTTTTTAATTTTAGAGTATTTTGAAAAGTAAGAGTATTTCCTGTTTTTGAAAAAAAATTCTACTTTAATGATTTTGGGAGAAGGAGAACATTAAGTACAAAATTATTTCTAACCTACACGTTTTGCTTAATTCCCTACAACTGCATCTTCCTTAAAATTTGGTGATGGTGTGTGTGTGTGTGTGTGTGTGTGTGTGTGTGTGTTACCATTTTAAAAAAGCAGATATTGCTCAATATGTAATTCATTAAAAAAAAAACAGCAATAAGGATACAGGAGCATTTTCATTGTTCATGCCTCAAGGAGTTCAACACTGTTTGAGAGACAATTGACAAGAGTTGAAGATTTCTGCTTGGCTCTTCAGTAAACCTGGGCAGCATGAAAATTTACTGCATTACATTTCCTTTAGAATGTGACACTGATTTCCTGCTGGGAGGACAAACAGTGAAGTCAAAGATAGCATAAGGGTCTCTGAACCATTCATTATCAGTCCTTGGGGAGGTGCCCTGACAGGCAGGCTTCCTGTCATGAACCCTGCCCAGCATGCCTGACCTCTGAGTCCCTCTCGGATTTACAGGTGGTGGAGACCTAGTGCACCCCCATCATAAGGGGCTTCTTGCCTTCTCACTCCATTTTCTGTGCTCCTGCCAAAGCCATTTGCCTTCTGAATGTTAGCACTGTTTATGTGTCAGGCACTTTGCTAAGCACTTATTATGTTGCTTCGTACAACAACCCTGAGAAGAAATGGCATTATTATCATTGTTGTTGTTTTCCTATTTAAATATGAGGAGACTGAGGCTAAAATAACACCCCTAATAAGATGGGGATCTGGCATTTACCTTAGGCCAGCCTCTCTGCTCCAAAGCCCATGAACGTGGCCACTCTCTTACCCCGCTTCTTATTTCTCATACCTGTGTATTTCTTCAGCAATGTATCTCTTTATTGAATCGTTTCAATCGTCTCTTTTTGTGCCATTCTGTAGACCCATTTGTTTGTCTTCATTTTTAACTCTTTGTTGAACTAACCTTGTTTTCTTTTCATTTAGTTTCATTTTCTTTTTATTCCATTCTGTAGACCCATTTGTTTTTCCTCATTTTTAACTCCTTGTTGAACTAACCTTGTTTTCTTTTCATTTCATTACTCTTAATAAAGTAATCTCATAAAATTTGACTCACACTGTTTTAGTAAGCTTATCTCTTAGGAAATTGTTGACTGGAAAAAATAACCACAAAATAAATTTAAAAGCATGACATCTTCTCAAATGATGGGAATAACCTTTTCTTTTAATTTGTAAAATATGTTCAATGCTTTTGTCTCTCAAAAATGTTGGAGGAGAATTGCATAGGTGCTTGATTTATGGTGTTGTATATACTGTTGATGTTCAATATGCAAAATTATAAACTTTCAAATTTCTAGTAAAACACTTGAGGATATTGTTGTCTTTACAATTTAAAACAATAGAGTATTAATAGATAGTTAAACCTTATACTTTTATCAGTTAATAGGGTACTTTTCCCCCTATGTAATTTTAACATTTTGTTTAAATTTCTTTTTAACTTGTAGCTATGGTCATGGTGGAAAGAGAAAATAGGATAGTAATTTCAGAAAGTGTATTTTGTTATTTTATTCATGCAAGTCCTTTTTCAGCTTTGATGATACAGCACCTATAGTTAAAAGTGGTTTCATTTGTCTATTGTGAATATAGACTCTATATTGATGTAGCAGGATACGGCATTGGTTATCTAGCAAAGCATACTCAAGTTTTTGCTTCAAAGAAAAAACAAGTCATTTGCTATATACTCGAGTGTAACCTGTATAAGTTAATTTCTCTAAATATAGAACTATAGAAGAATATTCTCAAGTGATCCATTTGGGGATCCATTTTTATTTATTTCTATGTATCTTATATATACACATATACAAATTCAAAGAAAACATTTTGGAGGGATACCCACTGAACTGCAGCAGTGGAATGTTAGGGTTTGGGATTACTGGTGTGTTGGGGAAAAAGGGAGAACCCCCAGTGTTACTTCATGTATTTCTGTATTGTTAGAATTTTTTGTAAGTGACATTTGAAAAAAGAAAGAAAAATCAATCCATAAAATCAGCATTAGTTACAGTAAATGTTACTTATATTCCATCCAGTTCCACAGCCTCCTAGGTTAGAACCTCAGGAACCAAATTCTGCCACGAGCACAACAATTGCGGTTTATTGGAGCATAAACAAGGAAGATGTCATCGACTCATTCCAGGTGTACTGCATGGAGGAGCCACAGGATGACCAAGAAGTAAATGGTAGGATTGCTAATACAGATACAGGTGCATGTGTACATTTCTGCATCTTAATGTGAAGTATTTAAACATATACATATTATGGCTCTTTCCATAAAGCATTCATAGCTACTTATAAAAATAATAACAAACCAACAGCAGCATAATGAAATGAAATATAAGCAAATTTGGAAATCAGGGTAAGGGAAAACAAAAATGCATAAATATCCTAGTGGTCAACATGAATATTGTCATTGTGATTCATATTTGACTTTGAGCTCTCAGGATAGCAGGAGCGATTAAGTGACCCTCATTTTCAGAAGGGAGGTAACATGCAAGAGTTTCAAAGAGAACAAAGTTTCAATCAATATGAGGTCAAAAGACAAGTGTAATGTGTGCCACTTTGTGGAGGAGAAAGGAGCCGTATAGGACAGTGACTTCCACAATAATTTTAATGCAAATACACCATTGGCTGTCATGGTTGGCATTTTCTCAGCTCTACTTTGGATAAAATCTATAAACACACTACAAAGGTAATTCAGAGTGCACACTTATGAGGGCATGGGCCTAGATGTGGTATAATCTTCTAGTGTCCCAAATTAATGTGCAGATCGAGGTGAAAGAGCTTGGCAGGGGGAGTGGATGGCATGTCTTATAGTTGAACTCCTGCAAATATCTCTGTTTAGTAGGACTTCTAACAAGACCTAGAAGCCAAGCAGTTTAAGGTTGTACTTAGTGATGAATCAGAGCTGGGAGTGCTGGCATACTGTGTTACCTGTTGAAGACAGACCCATATACAGGGTGGTGCAAGAGTAGGTTTGCAGTTGTGAGTACGTGAGTTTATTCTTGTATTATTATTTATTAATTGCTCTATTATTTTCCATACAAACAACTGTAAACCTACTTTTGCCTCACCCTGTACCTTAGAAACCAGATAATCATGTGGCAGGATTGATTATAATAAATTTCACTGATGCCAATATTTAAGTCTTCTGAGATGTCATGTGGTTCTTATTTAAATTAGAAAAAAGTAAGAAAAGCAATCCCTGACATAGTGTAAAGTTGGCTTTGTCCATAAGAATTTCTAGTTTAGCCCGGCTGCTGTGGTTCAGTAGTTGAGCATAGACCCATGAAGCAAGAGGTCACCAGTTTTATTTCCAGTCAGGGCGCATGCCTGGGTTGCTGGTTTGATTCCATGGTAGGGGGTGTGCAGGAGGCAGCGATCCATGTTTCTCTTTCATTGATGTTTCTATCTCTCTACTCTTCTCCCTTCCTCTCTCTAAAATCAATAAAGACATATTAAAATTTTATAAAAAGAATTCATATTTTATTGGGAAACTATTGCCATATAGCTGTGACAAAACAGCAAGGTAAGTGCTATTATCCATTTGCAAATGAGAAAACCAATATGAGGTTAAAAAATTCACCCAAGGCCACACAACTTATACATGACAGCAGCAGGATTCAAACACAGTCTTTTAGACTGCAAAGCTTATATTTTTGTTTGCTTGAATCTGTGTTTGTTTTGTTAGACAGTAGTCCCCCCTTATCTGAGGTTTCACTCTCCATCTGAGGTTTCAGTTACCTACAGACAACCTCAGTCTAGAAATATTAAGTGGGAAATTCCAGAAATAAACAATTCATAAGTTTTAAATTGCATGCATTTCTGAGTAGCGTGACAAAATCCCGAATGTTTTGCTCCATCTTGCCTGGGACATGAATCATCTATGCTGTGTGTGCTGCCTGCCCCTCAGTCACGTAGTAGCTGCCATCTTGGTTATCGGATTGACTACCCTAGTGTTGAAGTACTTGTGTCCAAGTAACTCTTATTTTACGGAACAAAAGCACAAATGTAGTGATGCAGGCAATTCAGATATGCCAAAGAGAAGCTGTAAAGTGATTTCTTTAGGTCAGTGGTCGGCAAACTGCGGCCCCTTGAGTGTGGCTCTTCCACAAAATACCATGTGCTGGCGCGCGTACAGTGCAATTGAAACTTCGTGGCCACACTCAAGGGGCCAAAGAGCCGCATGTGGCTCGCGAGCCGCAGTTTGTCGACCACTGCGTTAGGTGAAAAGGTGAGTATAGTGCAATAAGTTATTTTGACAGAAAGAGACTACATTCACATTCACTTAACTTTTATTATAGTGTATAGTTATAATTGTTATATTTTATTAGTTATTAATCTCTTACTGTGCCTAATTTATAAATTAAACTTTATTATAGGTATGTATGTATAGGACAAAACAGTGTATTCGGGTTTCTGTCTCTCTACCCCTCAGGCATCCCTTGGAGGTTTGGGGCATATTTTCCTTGGATAAGTAGTGGATACTGTACTTCAGCTCCCTGTTTATCCAGTTATATAATGAAATCTGGCTCTCCAGATTCTCTTAGCAACTATTTGTTGCTTAGAGTACTTTTTAAATGTGCTTCACCTGCCCCCACCATTCCCCAAACACTTATATAGCCTGTCTCATTTATTTAATGCCTTGAATTCTGCTAATGCCAGTTAATTAATCTGATGATATACACCATGATACCATGCTGTGTGAAATAGGGGTCCAGTAACATGTTATGTACACTGTTAAAAGTACTGGGGTAACACAACGTAGCCTGAAAGGATGATTCCATTGAAAACTACAGTCATAATTTGTAGGCTAGGGGGGAAATGTTTTTTCAGTGTATAAGTCCTCATAACATTATTTAAATTAAATATTCTGTCCAGAAAGTATTACTCATTGGGAAATAGAGATGCAATTAAAGAAACCTGCTGAGTTTAAAAGCTCCTAAATTTCCTTTAAAAAGACACAATATGGGTTTCTTACCTGAGGGGTTTTGAAAATGTGACATTCAAGAATAATAAGGGAGGATAACTGAAATTACCTTAGACTATTTTTTAAATCGTTCTTTTTAAGGAGAGAAAATTTCAGTAAAAATAATCATATTGGGTGTTATTATAATGCCCAAAGAGACCAGTGTTAAGAATGGTATTGAGTAATATTTACTACTAAAATATTGAAAGCAAAATAGCATAAATTTTAGGAAATGGTTGAATGAAGTTACTTCTTAGAAGTTACTTCTTTGATATCAAAGTTATTTAGTATTTCTAAATATTATGGAAATCCCTAGTTGAAAGAATTTTTGAATTCATGAGAAGGAATCAGGATTTGAAACTATGAAAATCATACTGAATACTAAAATGGTTTACTAACCTATAAAGATGCTTTGTACCATGCGGTTGTCCTATTTTATTATATACTCTCCTAAAATATTGACATTGCTTCTCAGGGATTATCTTGAGAATGTATTATTGAAATTTAAGCTAACAAACTCTGCAATTTTAGTATTTGCTATTGAAATGTTAATTTAATTGTAGAATATGAAGCTCAGAATCTTACTAATATGCTATTATTTTTTATTCGTGTTCATAAATAATACTATGTCATTCTAACTATCTCTTTTCAGAATGCTATTGCTTTCTTATGTATTCTAAAGTGATCTACCACATAATGATATCTGTAAGCTCATCACTTTGGGGTTTCCACTGAAAAAACTCATAAACCAATTTTTCCAATAACTGCAACTTTCAGTTAACTTTGGAAGACACCCTAGAATTTATGATTGTGTTTTATGCTAGACTTGGTAGAAGAATACAGAGTTACAGTGAAAGAAAGCTACTGCATTTTTGAAGATTTGGAACCTGATCGATACTATCAAGTGTGGGTAATGGCTGTGAACTTCACCGGATGTAGCCTGCCCAGCGAAAGGGCAATTTTTAGAACAGGTAAGGAGACGTTAAGAGGGTGTTAGGAGGCAGTACTCAATTCTTCACAGACTATTGAGGTCAACCAATAAGCATTTAGTAAGCCTATTGCATGCTGGGTGTTGTGTAATGTGGCATATACAATAATGGGCAAATTTTGGTGCTAGGGCCCTGATCCAGTTATACACAGGTTATTATAAGAACACTCCAGAGGGGTACCAGAGTCCGCCTTGAGTGGGAGCAGAATCAGAAATACCTTCCTAGAACTGATGCCCGAATGAGCTCCTTTAAAGGATCAGTAGGAAGTAAAGTGTTAAAAGGCTGTATTCATTTGAAGAAATCCTATGAGCAGAGACATCAAGGTAAGAAACAGTGTGGAGTGTCCAGGACACAAAAATAAGTTTGGTATTATTTCTTTGACTTCAAAACAAGTAGAGGAAAGCCATTAGGTGAGATAGACAGGTTCAGTGATGGCGAACCTTTTGAGCTCGGCGTGTCAGCATTTTGAAAAACCCTAACTTAACTCTGGTGCTGTGTCACATATAGAAATTTTTTGATATTTGCAACCATAGTAAGACAAAGACTTATATTTTTGATATTTATTTTATATATTTAAATGCCATTTAACAAAGAAAAATCAACCAAAAAAATGAGTTCGCGTGTCACCTGACACGCGTGTCATAGGTTCGCCATCACTGAACTAGTTGGTGTGTACAGAGTTAATATTTGGTAAGCTAAGAAGCTTGGGCTTTAATCATATAGGTGCTAGGAGTCCCAAAAAGGTGTTGCAGTGATGGTTTTAACTGACAATGCATTCCCATGATGGAGTCTTTTCACAAGGGGCTGAAGCAGGCATACTACTAGCATAAACCAAATTTGAATTGCTTTTAAGATAATTTTAAGTACGTCAGGGGAATCAATGACTTATTCCTACCATTTTATCTTTTCTTCTTGCCTTTTAAAGCAAATATTTATTGAGCATCTACTGAAGGCAAGATTATGGCTAAATTTTGTGTACAGAGAAGGGGACGAGAATCTTTATTTTTATTTGCTTGTACAGTAAAGAAACTTGGATAAGATTTACAGGAAGCTAATATCGGAAGCTAGCTGGGAATGGGTGAAAACTGGGCAAGTTTTGGAAGGCAGGGGTGGGAGGGAGATCTTTCACTACATAAAATTTTATACCTTTGGAGTTTTCAACCCAGAATGTATTTTTAATAAAAAATGAAAATAAAATCATACCCGAGCATTCTTCCCAGGCTCCAGGGAAGCAGAACTTTAATTCATTGCCCCACAATTGACTTCGTTCTCTCTCTACAGCACCCTCCACCCCTGTGATCCGTGCGGAGGACTGTACCGTGTGCTGGAACACGGCCACCATCCGATGGCAGCCTGTGAATCCAGAGGCCACTGAGACCTATACTCTGGAGTATTGCAGACAGCACTCTCCGGAGGGTGAGGGCCTCAGGTAAGAATCCTTCTCCACAGGGAGACCCCACCTCTCCACAGAGAGAACCTGGGGTACCAGGAACCCAGCTCAGGGCCTAAAGTCAACCTCTGAGCTTATGCTCATAGAGGGAGAAAACTTCTGAAATCCTGCTGAGCTAATTAAATTGACTTGATTTGCAGCTCCATCACTATTCATCAATGAACTCTAGGTTTGTAATAAAACATATGCTACCATGCAGAATAATAACTCCCTTGTAAGAAAAATGTAAGTGAACATTTTTTGAGGTATGTTTAACCTGAATCTTTAGACAGGATTTATGCATATTTTATGCTCATTTTAGTTATGTTAGAATAGGTACCACCTAATTCAGAAAACAAATGGTGAGTTTGTAATACAATGTAAATATGTATTTGTAATGTATAAATGTAAATTTTAATGTCTGTAATATATTGCTAATATTAAAGGAGCTAATTACACATATAATCACAGAGACATACCTGCTTCTCCAAGAGCATGAAGAATCTAGAGATTTTTGCAGGAAAAAAAGAAATGTAAAGCTTTCTCACTAAAATTATGAAGCTAGAATTTATCAGTAAAGGCCTGTGCATCCAATGGGCATAAGGTAAATGTTAATTCATTTACTAAGCTGTGTTTTCTTCTGCTTCATGGCAATAGGACAACTTCATGTTCCATTATGGATATTAAGACCACTATTATTAATATTTATATTTTGATAGAGACATTTTTAGTTAAAAAAACAAATTTACTGAGATAAACTATTGTGATAGGTTATGGGACTTAGAAATAATGGTGTGAAATTAGACAGCTTTTCAATAAAGTGTGTTATTAAGCTCTTATTTTCATGATCAGTCAACAACTGTTTATTTAGTTATGATGTGAGGTTTCATACAACTGAACAATAATTATAGTTTCTTTCAAGTGTGTGAAGACAATTTTCACAAAATAATGATCAAAAGATAAATTAATGTTGGTCGGGTAGGATGTAGGCATTTCAGCAGAAGTGAGATCAGAGCAAATGTGCATCTCTGCTAACATGCCCATTGCTGAAAGGCAGGCGTCAACGCTCAGCAAATAGCTGAGAGGTGAAAGCAGGCCAGGCCAGAGGGGTGGAGTGGGGAGAGAAAGGGCAAAAGAAAAGGAAGAGACAGAGTAGGGGAGATAGGGACAGAGACACTCAGAGGGAGAGTATAACTTTTATTGAGCATTTACTACGTGCCAGGTCAATGTCCTAGATGCTTTCTATGTGTCGCCTTATTTAACCTTCAGAAGAACTCTGACAGAAAACAGATACTTTAAGAGGCTACTCAAGATTCGAGCCCTGCTTTGTTTGATTTCACAGCCCGAGCTGCTAACCCCTATTTAATGTGGCTAAGAGGAGCCCTGTACCTTTTCTACAAAAACTTCTGATGCTATGAGAACGTTATGTGAGGAGTGCTGAGTCCCAGGGCAGTCTCTCCCACCCTTCTCCTCCCTAAGGGAGGAAAATCCAGTTCTCTGAGGAGTGTTCAGGAATGACTCATCCTTGCTATGGCATCAGTCCCCAGCTGGCATTTGCATAAATAACATCAGCACAGTTGGATTCTTAATCAGCAGAAACCTGGAAATTCTGAGACCTAGTAGCCATGCCACTGAGGGAACTGTGATGTCATCTAATAAATGTGGCTACAAGGAGAAGAGGAAGGGAAGCAGGAGGGGAGGTGGCATCCACTTGAGGGCCTTCATCGTGCCAAGAACTGTGCTAAGTCTCATTTAGCCCTCTCAACAATCCTAGGAGGAAGGAAATGACCTCCATTAATTGAGGCTTGGTTAAATAATTTAGCCAAGGTAGTAAATGGTGGAGTCCTTATGCAGACGAAGTTAGCAAACCTCAACAACCTGACCACTGGGAGCTATTGTGTATCCTTAGATTCCTTTGTTGCATGAAAAAAAAAAATGGATGTAAAGAGAGAATGCAGTACCATTCACAGCCCCTTTGATTAATGTTTTTCCTTTCTCTGATCATTCTGGGGCCCTCAAAGCAAAAACAAATGTTTATTTGATATCAACAGTGAACAATGCATTCCAAACAAACCCTTCTATCAAAGCCAAAGAAACAATGACAGTTCCACTTATAGGGGAACAGTGGCCATCCACCAATTTCATAAAGACAAAAGTCGACCTTAGCAAAACATAAGGCTTGTCATTAGTTTATTCTAGTTGAGACTTTGCCCGTGGGTTCATTTTTATCTTCCTCATCAAAGGAGAGCATCTGAGAGGCTGGATAAGCAGAAGTTTATAGTTGTTATGAAACAATACAAGTATCCTTTATTATTGAATGGATATAGTCCAGCAAGTTTAGAAATGAAGGGAAATTCCACATGCAGAGCCTTGATGGTTTGGAGCTGTGTTGGAGATGGAGCTGTTTTCCAATTAGGTGCTAAAAGACTGGCCAGTGCCAGGAGGTGGAATGGTATGTCCAATCCACAGCCCATGGGTGATTCTCCAGTCTCTGAATCACTGCTGGTCTGACAATAGATACTTTTTTGAAGCAAGCAAAATTTTGTTGGCCACAAATCACAACCCTACTCATTTGCCAAGTCTATTGCGGATGCTCCATATCTCGATGACTTATACCCTAGGTGGGCATCAACAGACTGTGAAGTAATTTATCCTTAAGCTCAGAGGCCCAGGGCTGCAAAACTTTTTTTGTATTTCTTTTGGTGCTCCAATTTAAGAGTTCCGGAGGGAAAGAAAAGTCAGCAGCCATGCGTCTTAGGTCTTTCGATCATCTGGTTCTTACAACCACTTTAAAACATTCCTTACAGTGTCTGATGGTTTAAAACTGTAAAACATTAACTATAATCTATATTGCTCAATCTCTAAGATTTCCGCTGTAGACAGCTAGTCAGAAATAGAACTGATAAACAAAGAACCTCAAAACTTGATCACCACAGTCAATAAAAGCAAATAAATCCTACTTTCCCCTATATTAGAACCACATTCTTCACTTTGGCTTTCTGCCCAGCAGCACATAATTTGTTGAGTATCTTGGAAAGAACAGCAAGCCAAGGGTTGTCTGATCCTACTCACTTGACTACATGGAGGGATCATTATGTAAGGTTGCAGCCTCAGTGCCTGGGACAGTGTTTGGCATATTGTAGCTACTCAATAAATATGTATTACCTGAATGGGCAAATATCAATTAGGATTGCACACATAATACTAACTCTAATAAGGAAAGTTTGACAAACTTTGAAGATAATCTCTTATTCAAAATGGGGAAAAAAATAAAACTGTGCCAACGAAGTAAAGAAGAATGGTAAATGACTTAATTTTAGTGTTTGGATACTTAGCTAGGAGACAGGTATAGTTCTATAGGCTGGAAACCTTTTCATGGGTCACAGATAGTGAAGGGCACTTATAATCTTGCTTATCCATTGGTTATATAGCCCTTATTTTGGTTCTAGGATCTATGCAAAAGCCCTATGCTAAACCAGAACCAAAAATTAATCCAGAGGCCATTCATTGCAGGGAAGTAAGGGGATCAACAATTACTTCTTAAAAAAAAAAAAAAAAAATATATGACCAGAATTGAACCTGGGACCCTTCAGTCCGCAGGCCGACACTCTATCCACTGAGCCAAACCGGTTAGGGCACTTACTTCTTTTTTATGTGACTCAGTTTGACTGGGAGAGGACTGGGATAGTGTCTGTGTAGATATTTAATAAATGTCTGTTTAATGAATGAATGAGTGGATGAATGATGGGATTAGCCAATCTTTTGTGCTTGCCAAATCCAAGTCTAACTGGCTGGAATCTCTAGCAAAGAAGAGAAAGAACTAAGAACTAAATCACTTCACATCTCTTTCTCCCACTCAATCCCTGAAAAGACAGACAGCCTTAAAAGTTCTGGTCTGGAGTAGGAAGAGAAGTTGGAAGAAAATGGAAAGGATGAATAATATGAAAACACATACACACATGGAAACATTCATCTTCAAACCTGCATGTGTTCTCTCAGTATGATGGCCTCTAGGATATTCCAATTTAAAACCAAAGGTGCTGGTTCAGCTCCGATGGTGGGTGTTTGAATGCAATGAGCCTATTGTGCTCCCAAGTTCCATGACGCAGTGTCTGAAATAGCCCAGCAATTGCCTCCATTCCATAATCCTCACAGAAAGCACATTTGCATATTTTTGTGTGGGGGCACCAGTGGCTCATCCCAGCGGTCGGTCCCTGTGGGATTGGGGGTGGGCGGGAGTGACAATCCCTGGCTTGTGTGCGGGGGCTGAGGGAGCTCCTACTCACCCTTTCCTGTTTTTCTTTGAATGCTCTCCTCAGGTTGGGTGGGCTCAAAACACTTTCAAAAATTTTCCACTGCTTGGCTGTTTCCTCAGCTGTTCTGTCTCTCCTGTGTGGAGAGAAGTCAGCAGGGCTGTGGGTGGAGGAGGGAAAACTGAGAGAAATATAGCACAGGCATTAGCTGTGTGGGCTGTACAGAGAGAAGCTTTGCATGGAATGACAAATCTGTGAGACTCAATATGCCACACAAGTCGGTGACAGAGACCGTGGGCAGGGAGACCCTTGGGGGTACGGGGTGTTGGGTTCTGGATGCTGGGCCTGTGAGCTCACACTCCTCCTGCTTCCAGGGTGGGGGCCACATGTGGTGGGGCAGGAACAGGATTGTCTGTCACAGTTGGATGTTCCCGCTGGGGACACCTGCCGCTTCATCTGTGTAATAAGGACAAATAAGGGTAATTTTCCTAATGCGCCTAGTGCCTGAACCAGGTGAAAAAATCCCAGCATTTCTTTCTTTTTAAAAGCTTTTTGCTAAGCTGAATAGGTGATGAGTGACAAATGATCAACCTCAAGTGATTTGACCTTCTCTGCAGCCTGTGGGTAAAGGAGGCAGCCGTCCTGCACGATCCTTGCTTCACAGGGTGACAGGAGGGTCGCTGACATGATTGGGCCAGAATTGATTAAGGAATATGAGCTAGTAGCTCCTCTATATATAGTATTGAT